GGTGCAATTAAATCTATTATGCACGCAATAACTGTAACGGAAATCCCCCATATCTGCAGTTTTCTTTACATCAAGAGCTTTGAAATATTTTACAGTATATTGTGATAGTAATTTTTTAAATTTAAATTATTTTAAACAGCTATTAACATTCTGTTTGAGCAATGACTTGGCAACAGTTAGAGAACTATTCAATGACTCTGTCGTCATGAATATCAGTGAAGTATTTCTCTAATAGCACAGTGACTTCTTGATTTGATCTAGTCTATTCATTATTAATTTTCAATTGATAGTATGTGTTACGATGTCTTTACGGGTTTCGCTATTAATTATAATCCACGACATTTTAATTTTATTTTAGCAGTCTTAATTTTGTTGCTAATATGTAAATATTTGGCTAAACATAGGCTGCACTAAAAGTATCGGGAATGGAATATTTCCACTGTTCCTGTCATATTAAAATCTTTTTTAATTAAAAACTCCTTGGTTTTAAAAATCGAATAACATTTATTTGTTTAAAAAAAAGATTCTCGGTCTTGTTTACAGGTTCACAAGGTTTTGTCAAACTTGTTTAGTCGTTGAGAAAATGGAATTGACTCGAGAAAATTAAAGAGCGATGATTTATTATGACTTTTGAAGTGGTTTAACACAAAAACAGTGTGTTGACCAGATGATTTCTGCATTTATTGATAAAGCCCCATCCAAAACCACAATTTATCGCTGGTTTGCTGAATTTCAACGTGGACGTGTCAAGCTCAGTGATGATTCCCGTCAAGGTCGTCCAAAAACTGCAGTCACCCAAGAAAACGTTGATGGTGTGCGTAAGCTGATTGAGGAAGATCGACATGTGATATACCGCGAAATTCAGGCAACTTTAGACATTGGCATGAGTCAAATACAAAAATCTTGCATGAACATTTATGTGTAAAAAAGTTGTTTTCCCGATGGATACCGCATTCGCTCTGTGATCTCGCGCTCTGTGGTCTTCACCAAAAAGCGGCTCGCATTACTTGGTGCGTCAGAACTCTCGAAAGATTCCACGCAGGATTCTCAAATGCTATATACAACATCGTATCAGGTGACGAATCCTGGATATACGCGTACGAACCCGAAACAAAAAACCAGTCACGAGTTTGGGTGTTCTAAAATGAGTTAAAGCCAACAAAATTGTTCGTTCACGGAGTGTTGCAAAAAAAAATGGTGGCCACTTTTGTCTCCAAAATCGGCCATGTTATGACTATTCCTCTTGAAGGACAAAGAACGACTAATGCAGAATGGTATGCTAGCATTTGTTTGCCACAGGTCGTTTCTGAACTCCGTAAAGAGAACTGCAACCGCCGCATCATCCTCCATCACGAAAATGCGATTTCACCGCACACAGAACAAAAGAGTTTTTAGAGCAAGAAAACATAGAATTATTAGACCATCCGCCGTACAGCCCCGACCTAAGCCCTAATGATTTCTATACTTTCCCTAAAATAAAGAATATAGCGATAAAGAATATAAGAGCTGTGGACGCCTACAAAACGGCCATTTTGGAGACCCCAACTTCCGAATGGAATGGTTGCTTCAATGATTGGTTTCATCACCAATCGTCAAATTTCGCGGAGAATACTTCGAAAAACAATAAATACATTTTTAAATAATGATGTGTCATTTCCTTGATTCCCGGAATTTTCAGTGCCGCCCTCGTAGACAACATTTAGCACGGAATACCAGCGTCAAATAGCAACTGCTGTGTTTCTACACTTCTTACTGGAAACGAGACATTTCATCTTAGTCCTCAGGGGTGACTATATTTGATCTGATTCTTTAAAGAGGAAGGATGTGAATGTTTATGGGTCACAGCAACCATTTTCAATCAGGTGAACTGTATGCTCATTTGCCACCCTTATTCAATTAAAACTATCAGAATGGGCACAATGTGATTCGACATAAAGTTTATATCATGGTTGAAATCGAAGATATTTAAAAAAAACTTTTATTGTCAAGTGAGCTATATGTAAGCTACTTGTAGCGGCTCTGTCGTCGCGCCGCAAGCGAAACATACCAAAGCCTAAATCACGCTATCAACATTCCGAATCATAAACAGTATATATAGAACATCTCCGAACTGTCACACGGAGCGTTGGCCGCTCCCCGGCCATAACACCTTGCCCGGCGGGAGATCTCCCCTTCTCCTTCCACGGCCACAGTGGTGACCACCCGACGTGATCTGAACACGCAACCAAATAACCTTCGGAAACTACAACTTCAAGCCTTCGTCATTATCCTCAAGAACCCTACCATTCAATACTGAGAATCGTCTTCTGCAGTCTTCAGTTCCTGCAAACCAGTCCAACTTGTCTTCATCTCGACTCACCGCAGATTTATAAGGCAGACTTCTGGCACTTGCTCACGAATAAGGATGACAAACGAGCACACAGTCCACCTGATGGTAAACTGTATACGGCGACTCACAAACATCTACATCTACCCTCTGTTAAGAATTAAAATGCAGATGTGTTTTGAAGCTTGATTATGAATGTGGTTTCTCTTATATAGGACAAACAAAAAGATCAATTAGAACCCGCGTAAAAGAACATATAGCTGATGTGAAGCATCAACGTTACGGGAAGTCTGCAGTTTGTGATCATATCCTAGACGGCCCCAACCATTATATCAGATTTGACAGACGACAAATCGCGAAAGAACACCGATTCCTACCAAGAATGATACGTGAGGCTATTGAAATTAAAAAACATCCTAATTTCAATAGAGAAGGAGGCTGGGTACTACCACCTACAATTGGGACCCCATAATCAATAAAATTAAAACTAAACCCAAGCATACCACTGCAAGACCTCATACATAATCAGTTCATTTTGCATAGATTGGACCATAAACAATAATTATAAAAGCTGAAGGTACTCCGGGTTTAACAATGACATCGGGACGTCAGTCACCTCAGTCCCCCGTGACCATGGGTGCTGGAAAGCACCCGAAACGTCGGTAATTAAAAGTAAAAATAATTAAAAGTATAATTAAACGCGATTAAATCCGTAAAAGTAGTTTTAATCAATGTCCAGATGTGTTGTCACTCCTGAGAACTAAACTGGAACGCCTAATTTCCAGTTAATAGGATCTCCGTTACTCAACACTCACCCTTCAAAACACAGTAGCATTAAGCTGGTATGAGAGCGTGGTCCTTCCCCAATCTAGCCAATCCATTCGTGCTTCAACAATAATATAGCTGTAGCATGACTGTGACAGATGTTGAAGAAGGAGTTCTTGTCAATGGCCAACTGATTAACAACTTGAGAACGCTGACGATACTGTTGACGACACTGTGACATCTTCAGAACAAGGTCTTCAAAAATACTAGACCGCATATTCGAGTGCGGTACAAGATCAGGACTTTGAAATGTGTGTTCACAGACTGCAGACGTACAGGATCGCCCCCGTCACTACATCAGATTTGATAGACCGCAGATCCTCGCTAAAGAACACCGATTCCTTCCAAGGATGATTCGCGAGGCTATTGAAATCAAAAAACATCCTAATTTCAATAGAGAAGATGGCTGGGTGCTACCATCTGCTTGGGATCCTATAATAAATAAAATTAAATCCCAACCCAAGCATACAACTGCAAGACTTCAAGATACCATAAGTTCATACTGCATAGATGGGAACAAAAGTTAAATTTTAATCTATGGTAACCGCGGTTAACTATGACATATGGACGTTGAACATCTCAGTCCTGCCCGTGACCATGAGTGCTGTAAAGCGTTCGAAACGTCGGGTATTTAAAAAGTTAAAATATACGCGATAAATTCCGTAAAAACTAGTATTATTTCAATGTGTAGTGTTCGCGTAAATATAAGAAATCATTAAGATCAGGACTTAATATAAACGTGTCTAAGACCAAAATCATGGTAGTTTCGAGAGCGCCAAAGCAGTGCAGTGTATGTATAGGACAAGATAGTATCGAACAAGTTCAGAATTACCAGTATCTTGGATCTTGGGTAACTGATTCTTGGGAGAGTGACACGGAAATACGAGTTCGAATTGAAACTGCAAGAACCTCTTTCATGAGAATTAGCAAAGTCCTTACTACAAGGAGACTATCAATCGAACTACGTACAAGACTCATGCAATACTATATTTGGCCTGACATACTATACGGATGCGAATCTTGGACTATGAAAGAAGATCTTCGTAAGAAACTGGAAGCATTTGAAATGTGGATGTATCGCTGTATGCTCCGAATTAGCTGGACAGGCAAAGTTACCAACATTGAGGTCCTCAAACAGATGAAAAGGAATAAACCCCTACTTGTCAAAACCATCAAACAGAGAAAAGTTGCGTACCTAGGACACGTGCTAAGGCATGAACGTTACCAATTGCTGCAGACTATTGTGATGGGCAAAGTAGCGGGTAAAAGAAGTGTTGGTAGAAGGAAAATGTCGTGGCTATGTAACATCCGGAAATGGACTGGGATAAAGAAAGTTGAAGATCTGTTCAGGCTAGTCCTGAACAAAGAAGAATTTAGAAGGATGACTGCCGACCTTCAGTAATGGAGAGGCACTTAAAGAAGAAGAAGAGAATGACTGTATAAAATATAATTATAACACGTACAAAAAGTAATTATAATTAAACCTGTAATTATACTGACTCAGAATACAGGAATGTCTGCAATGCACATACTCGTAATAATTAGAGGAATCCTATCACCTAGTAAAAATATTCTTTAAATTAAACTGTATTTCTTAAATATCTACTACCCTATATCATCCCGTGGGTAAGAGTAAGAGGCGACAAAGGGAAACAAATTAGGAGATGGGTGGCAGCGGCTTCCTAATAACGACCAAAAAACTGCAGTTACCAAACCGTTTGCCAAGCGTGGCAACTGTGGCAAATATCCTGTTATGAGGAGGGAAGGGGAGGCTTTTGTTTGGCAGTGGAATTTAATAGTCTGTAACGATAACGACAATATTTCTTATAAGAACAATTGTCTTGTACAGGGTGGCGTTGATGCTCTTGGATATATGGCAAATCAAAATGGGCACGTGGCCCGGCTTCGTCATAGTCATAGACCTGGAAGGCGTGAGACTTTCGCATTTAGGCAAACTGGATATCACAGAAATCCAACAGTATATATATTACTTACAGGTAATTTACCCCTTAATTGCAAGCAGTAATTTAGTATATGTGTATATATATATATATATATGGTGGTATATTAAACGGCCTCGAACTGTAAAAGTCCGGGACTCGACGGACTGCATCACTACTGGTGTGTCACGCTGTGTTCGCCCTAGAGTTTTAGGAGGCTCTCGATCAAAAGGCACTCCCAAGCTTCTTCACTACTGCTGTCGCTTACTTGGTTCCTAAAGATCGGATACCACAGACCCAAACACATACCGCCCCATCACTTGTCTGGGTGACAAGTGGTGGGGCGGAATTTGTATATATTACTACTTTAATTTAATTCATTATATTCTATAATCTTATTTATTTTTATAAGAATAAATAAAATAATATACACCATATATATATATAAAGGCAAAGTGACTTTCTCAGTGGTTCCTTGATGAATGTAAATTGACACTATTTTGAAAAGATATAGTAAACTAATAATTTGCTAGTTTGTTCACTTTTTGATTTTCTCAGAACTTTCAGTGTCACTCTCGTATATAGAACAAGATACTACGAAGATCTAAAGAAAAAATCTAGAGAAAAAATTACATCGACTTATGAAAATAAAACTTGACACGTTAATAAGAAAGAGTAGACGTAACTCAAATGCTACCTGTAAATTTCACCATTCGCGAGCAACCCCAGTTTGATCCATGCCGGCACCATTTTGATTGTTTATTGCAATTTAAGTGATGGTTTACCACGTGCTCGGCAATGAAGGAAACATGAGGAATACCTGCATGACCAAGAATTAAAATATTTTCGAAGACAAATAAGGGTCCACCAACACGCACTAGAGAATCGCGTCGCACTAAAGGGGCTAATAATCTTACGCTCACCAAATAGTGAGGATTGAGGTGAAGAATTTTGTTCACAAGTCCACTGCTGAACATAGGCCTAGAAGTTCTTTGTTACACAATGTTATTTGATTGAAAACTTGTGTTTTAAACAAAAGTTTATCGGTTTGTATGTAAAAAATGTAAAAAAAGTACTTTTTTTTTAATTTTTATATATGTATGACTAATATTTAAGAAAGAAACATTAATCTGTAAACTTCACTAATAAATTAACTTTCCCGCGATGAAGCCTGTTAAATATTTCATCTCATACCTTGGTGTCACTTTTTTATTTTGTCACTTTGTTTATATTTGGATATTTCTCGTGCCGTTATTTCTCCATAACCCTGTCAGACATGAGAGGTCTGTTTTTTTATAGAATAAAGGTGACAAATTAGCGCACAGTCCACCTGATGGTAATTGGATGCTGTAGTCTATATCTAAATCTATCGTCAATTATAAATCAAACTGCAGATGCCTATCATGTACCTATCATGTAATAGATACCGCATCATGGAATATTTGTTCTGTTTCCAATTCACCAAATTTCGAGTTGAGAGGGGCGTGTCAAATGCGCTGTGATTGGATAATTCAAGGTTGAACTTAGAATGCTCCGAACCATAGTGATGGGACAGTGTTGGGACGTTGATCGATACATTTGGGATTTATCGATTATTGATAAATAAATGAATTGATCAATTTTTATTTGAAATTTATTAAATAATAGGAGGTAATCTGTGACTAAAGACTAGGATAGAATGCCTCGTATTCAGTAAAAAGGGTCTCTGGCTTCCTACTCTCACCATATAAACCACCACCATTGAGCTGCTATTTTACGCTGATATTCTGTGAGAGCGAGGTGCTTTCCCGGTCGAGTCGACCCATTCGTTATACAACCGTAATATACCTGCAGCGTGGTTCTACCACGTAAAGAGATGGCGTCACCCTGGTGCCATATAGTGGATGCTGTTATTGCTACATAACCCTGTCACAAATGAAAAGAAGTCTGTGCCCAGCCATTCAATTAGCAGCTGACGTTAATAAGATTTAGCTTTATTTTCTTTTAGGAAGCGATGTTTGTGAAACTGAAAGCGATCCACTTTCTCAATGCGCCAGCATTTATGGACAAAATTCTTATGTTAATCAAACCATTCCTGAAAAAAGAACTTTTGGACTCTTTGATAATTCATAAGGCAGGCTCTCGGGCTATCGGTGAGTACCTGCCAATCGAAGGTCTACCAAAAGAAGCTGGAGGACAGTACAAGACGTATGCAAAAGCCAAAGGTTAGTTAGTATTTTTACAAAATTTTCTTTTATTTATTAAAAATTCAAAATAACTACGATAAGATACGTAACAACATGCTTAAGAGAATTGTGAAGCTGTAAGTTTTCACACAAAAAGCGATAACGTTTTCCCTACCGTAAACATTTTTATAATTTTTAAAATTTTTATAATTTTTAGAAATGTTTTAGATATAATAAAAAACTAGGTTCGTACGTTTTTAGCCTCTAAATATCTATATTTTTGACTTAAAACTTCCTCGAGCGTTTTTATTTTTTTAAATTAAACTCAACTGACTTATAAAAAAGAAAAACGTACAGATCTAAATTAAGGTATACTGAATCTAATGAGATTAATTGTCTCATTTCGTAAATGTTTAGGGAGGTTAAAACATTATCGCTCGAAACAACATTTTAAAAACAAAATGTAGACAATTACTTGCAACATTAGCAACTCTCTCTATTGCACGAAGGCGATACGAAGCGAGGGATGTAAAACAGATAACATTTTTGAAAATACCTACTCGCGCCGTGAATCGGCACTTCACAATCCTCTTAAAGGTTAAAACAGTAATTAAAAATACCAGACTGTGTAAAAAGTTTACTATAAAGATAAATACTTTACACTTTATGTCACTTCCACAACTAAGGCGAATGTAGCGACACATCAAGGCGTTTAGGTTACACAGCATGCCGAAACAGACATAAATACAACATACATACTCACAAACTCTCGAAAAACATTACCCTGCTTTTGGAGCAGTCGAGTAAAAACAGGATTTTGTTTAATTCATCATCATCATCATTACAGCCCTTCACAAGTCCACTGCTGAACATAGGCCTCCCCCAAGGAATGCCACAAAGCGCGGTCCTGAGCCGATTATCCGACCATCGACTTCTTGCATGCTTACCAGGTTGTCACTCCATCCAGTTGTAGTCATCTATGGGGTCGCCCTACACTTCGCCTACCGATACGAGGTTGCCCCTCGAGAACTTTTTATGTGTATGTTCTTTATAGTGTAAGTCCATAATTTTTAATAAGCATTTTAAATTTGAGCGTGCCATACCATATAGAACAGCGGCTCTTTTCTCTCCTGGCCTAAGAATCAAAATGTGACTAAGATGGAATGCCTCGTTACCAATTGGTATACGTAAAAAGCTTCGCTTCTCTACTACTAATTCTAGCTGCCATTTTACGCGGGTATTCAGTGAGAACATGGTCCTTCCCCGATCAAAAGAAGTCTACTTCCGATTTTTTCACATGTGACGACAGTAAAATATTGTTTTTATTTATTTTTTTCTTTAATTTAATATACAATCGTGAACAATAAAGGTCATCGACTTCGCTAACTTATTTTTTACAGAGGATATCCTTGCATTATTAAAAGCAAACGAGGATTTCTTCATATCGGAGAGCAAGAAGAGAGTGGAAGAATCTCTGAGACCAGGAAAACCGAAGAACATTACCGATTTCTTTGGCGGCATCGAGGGCTCTTTCAAGAAGCTTGATATAGACTAATAAACATCTACAATGTACTCGTAGTTAGTTATATGTTACTAGTTTTTATTAAAACTTCCGGTAGATGGCGCGATAAGCTTCACTTCGAACTTTTTACAGTGTAAATATAAAATTTATTAATAACTCTACCACAACACAACCTATCGGCAAACGTTCCGATACCATCCACACCATTTGGATGCTTGGCGGTCCACCACTGTACGAATGCTGTCGGGATGATGAGTTTGCGACGGAAGTGGTGACATTGTCAGACCACCGTCACGTCGTCTTCGATGTCGCACTTCGCCACTTCGACAGTTATTCCAGTCGTTCAGAAGGCAGCCTACCGCGGCATTGGTATCTCAAGCGGCTCGACCGAAACAATCTCGATACCACCGTCTTCGTCATGGTCTTGCCAGAAAAAAACGAAGAGGTTCCTCTCAATCCGGAAGAGTAAATGAACTGTAACGATGTGGCATTGGACGCGGGGGTGTGTGTTGCGCAGGTAAAGTTGAAGGCCACGGACGAAGGTGCGCCATGTTTTGTTGTGACTTACTTTAGAAGGAGATAGGGGAGGAGTAGTCCTCTCCAAAGCAGGGGTTAGCATGGGGTGGCCGGCGCTGGTAGGGGCACTGATCTGTGCGAAAGCGTTCCCGTGGCCTGCCAATATGCGGCGAATATGGAACACCATGGGGTTTTAGTCGATACGAGTCCGACATAACCCGTCCTTGCCCCCGCGAGACAGGTAGGCGTAGGTATTTGTAGGCATAAAAATAGGTTTGGTTAGGTTTCTATGATGCGGTGGGCTGCTGCTGGCGTAAATATCATCTGCTATGCCAACGACACATTGGTGATCGCCAGCGAGATCACTTTCGAGAGGGCCAAGAAACACGCCGAACTCGGGGCGGAAGTCTTCGTCGCCAGGATCCACGAGTGGACAGCCTTGGCGAGAGACCAGAATTCAGGGGTTCCAGAAGGAAGGCGAACTAGTTTCTCGCCAATTCTGCCGATATGCTCTGACTTTGCCTTGGCAATGACTCTTTTGAAGGACCTAGAGGCGGAATTATACTTCTTATTTAGAGCGCTGGTGTTTACATCCCGGGACGTTGATGTGTCAGCCTAGGCTTGGTAGCACTCCTGGTTATAGCATGATGCTATTTTACAGGAGCGACCAAACCATGGTTGAGATTTGCCTCCAATGGGCACCACAGAGGAAGGAATAAAAAGTTCCATATCCTGAAGTACCACATCAGCGACAGAATCCGCAATAAAGTTAGGATCGTCTGGCGAGAAGCAATCCCGCCCACAAGGGTAGGCTGCATAGAAAGACCGCATCCCATCCCAATCGGCTAACCTATAGTGCCAAACACGGCGGCAGCCTTTTTTTTTTTTAACATGGGGAAATGCCTACGCATACCCGCCTCGCGGGGGCAAGGACGGGTTATGTCGGACTCGCACCGACTAAAACCCCATGGTGTTCCACCTTTGTCGCTTATTGGCAGGGCCACGGGAACGCTTTCGCACACATCCGCAGCCCCACCAGCGCCTGCCGCCCCAAGGCAGCACCTCCACGGGAGAGGAATATTCCTCCCCGTTCTCCTTCACAGGTAAGGCGCACCAGAACACATGGGGCGCCTTCCTTCTCGGCCTCCAATTTCATCTGCGCAACGGACGCCCCCGCGTCCAATGCAAGAAGGCCATGGGGCCAGGAAAAACGAGCACTTAGAAGTACTAGCCTTCCCGACCCCAGCGGCGGATCTGGTCTATGGCTCCGCCGCCAACCAAGATTCGGCTGCGGAGGGTAGGGAGAGCGGCGCCTCGCAATACCGACAATCCTCTCCCCCCGCAGCCCCACCACCGCATCAACGGTGCGGCCCCGTTTGAGTCGCGGAGGATAGGGCGAGTGGCGCATCGCCATATCAACACACCTCTTCCTCCGCGACTCCACCTCGGCTGCAGCGGTAGGTGGGGAGGACACACCTCTCACCGCAGTCCACCAACACACATCCGAAGCGGGCTTCCCAAGCCCACTCGGAGTGGCCACCTCGGGCCGGCCCTCCACCTCGGACCAGCCATTTGGGTTCCTCTTTGTTCACCGCGGGAGACCAAGCCACGGCTACTAAGCCCCCCCGCCACGACAAGGCGGGAACCCGATCGGGGGGGACGGCGGCAGCCTGCGGAATGCAACTGCGTTTTCAGCGTGAGTGGCACCACGCACCGGACAATACAATCGTCCGAGGAGCCTAAAGGGGCGTCAACGGAAATCTGATACCCGTCCGGGTGGGAGATCAGCAAAAGGTCCAACAGGGAAGGTGCATGATCCTCCACATCTGGAATCCGCGTAGGCGAAGTATCCTGTTGTGTCAGACCATATGGTCTGACACAACTGGCAACTTGGCATATGCCTAGGCAAAATCATGAATAGATCTCCCCGCATGATCGGTTAAACGTGAACCAAGCCATTCGGCGTGATGGGCGTTAAAGTCGCCGAGGATCACGATCTCGGCGGAGGGGATCTGCTGTAGCAACGAATCTGTAGCCATTTGGACGTGGTCGAAGAGTCGGTCTATTTCGGCATTACCGCTATGGGATCTATAGAGGCAGCTGTAGACGCGCGGATGGGCGTCACTGTCTACGCGTAGCCAAAGGATGGAGAGGTCCGAACCGAATGAGCAGAACCGGCCTCGCCGTCTCGAGATGGTATTGGATGGCGTTTAGATTAGAGTGAAGTCCCCTGATATTGCAGAAATTCACGGACAGCGTGGCAGGGGTTGCCTTGGTCTTGTTGCTCCGTTTGCCCCGAGCAGTTGTAGTCTTGAGCGGAATGTTGCCCCCCCCCCCCCCCCCAGAATACGCGTACCCATCCATGAAGTACAACAATATCTGTATGAAAATATACAAAACTTCATAGACGTGAGCTGTCATAATAGGGTTTAGTGACACCAGTATCTCGACTCTATAGAGTCAGTGATTCATTCATGTAGTAATGTTAAAGATATTACCAAGTAAAATATTTTTATTAAACAAAAACTAAAAAACGCGTTACTTTAATATAAATGAATGCATGGTTGATAATAACCCCGGGAAATGAGGTGGTCGCTTCCAAGCTGTTTTTTAAATAAGTTTTGCAATTAGTTTGTACTATCTTTTTACACGTGCACGTCGTGTACGTGCATGTATGAAGAAGTTAATGAACCTGAAAGAAGCGAAAGAGGTATGTAAGGATCGTGACACTTGGCGATCTGCTCTCTCTGGCTACCCCGTTAGGGATTGTGCGTGAAGATAAGTAAGTAAGTATGTAAGTATCTTTTTACACACAATTCACCTGATGGTAAGTGGATGCTGCGGCCCATAGAGATCTACAATTATACTAGACTAAGAATCATAATGAGGACTAAGATGGAATAATTCGTTTCCAGTGTCTCAGGTAATTTTTCACTGTGACTTGACTTTTTTGTCAAAAACAATTGTGCCTTTATCACGTTGATAACGTTGGATAACTACTTGGGACATTAGAACGACTTGTAACGTGTTTTTAAATATGCATTTTAGATTTAATATTAAGTTTTATTTCAGTGATTGATTTTTTTATTACCTTCCTTACCTAAGCTATGAACGTTGCTACGTTATAAGTATCATTCTAATTATTACTTTTGAAATATACGGATTTCACCTAACCCCGACAATCAGTCGGCCTCTACTAAATAAAATTCAATCATAGCTATAATATATATTAATACGCTACTTTTCTACTTAATACGTTACTTTTTCTCGCTGTAAATTTCACAATACGCGAACAAACCGGGTGCGGTCCCCGCCGGCACCAATGAAATTGTTAATAGCAATTTTAAGTGCTGATTTATCACGTGCTCGGCGGTGAAGGAAAACATCGTGCGGAAACATGCATGTCTGAGAAATAAGAAAAAAAATATTTTCGAAGACATGTGAAGTTCACCAACACGCACTGGGGCAGCGCGGCGGACACTTTCTTTGCCCTAAAACCCTTTCAGAAATGAGAGGATGCCTGTGCCCAGAAGTGGGACGTATATAGGCTGTAACTTTACTTTTTTTACGCTATGCATTTTGTATAATATGAAAATTTGTTTTTTTTTACATAGTATATGGTAATAACTCACATTTTATATTTCACTTTCAGTTACTTCTAACTGTTTTAGAAAAGGGAAAGATACACTACTATTTTGAAATGCCAATTTAATAAATTGAATGAAAATGGTTACGAGATGAAATATAAGCAAATAACTTTAAAAAACAGTATAATTACTTACGTTTTAATAAAAAAAAACTAACAGAAAACTTTCTTTTTGGGCCTTGTACCTACTTTTCTCTTGCACTCGCGCGCCGCAAGAAATAGAATGAAGTAAACGCGATAATGATGGACGATATACATCGATGTATTAAAAATACTCAATGTAAAGTATCGATTTATGAAATCAATCCAATATTTTATTAAATCATTATCATCGATTTAACATAGATGTGTTTTATTCGATGCAACGAAGAGACAAACCTGCTAGGATACCATTGCTTTTGCATGACCGCCATTTTGCGAGCAGTCATCGAACCGAAAAGACAAAGTCCGTATCGCCATCTATGTAAAACGAATTGAATATTCCTCGTCATTTATTGAAATCGAGTTTTATTGCCCGAGGATAAATGACTTATGCAAAAGCAATTACGTGTACTCTTAAATGTTCACGATTTATTTTTAAACTAATGGGTTTTTAAACAAATTAAATTTAAAAAAAATTAAACAAAATTGTGACATTCCGTTGAAATATATTGTACGCAAAACTGCGATCAAGCATTAAAAACCATACATTGAAATATGATGATAACCCTTTTTAAGGGCCAGTAAATTCATTAGATTTTTGTGTTTGATTAATAAAAAATAAGTTTATGACTTTATATATTATTTCGATTATATAGATATATTTCAAATATATTGCATGCTACATATAATCAGTTTGGCTTATTATTACATTTTAGAAACCTTATATTCG